TTTCTTGCAGATTGCCATTGAGAACTTGCCAGAAGTCATCAATATTTAACAGCTGTTGCTATTATGAAATTCTTTATGGGTTAATGTGGCTTGCCGGCTTGCACGCAAGGCTTTGGCGGCCGGCCAGCAGCCTGTCAGGAGGAAAGGGGGGGTAGATTGACAGACGGCGCGCTCGCGTGACAAGCAACCCTTGATCATCCAGCTCCTCTCTCTCTCTCACTCTATTTCTCTGTGTTGGTATTGCTCTCTCCACTGTGGATTTCCTGTGCCTGCGGAGTGAGAGAGGTACATACGCAGAAAAGAGGACTGCTGAGGGAAGAGGCGGGACTAGGCAAAGGAGGTGGCAGCAAGCCAGCAAAATATCAACGCACACACATCAACACACACACCGTTGTCTGTAGACTCACACAAGCCTGGTAGGAGAGGAGCAACTGCTGCGCTGCACAGTGTTGCATGCTCAGATTAAAAAATGTTTCTTTGCTCAAACTATGCAAAACAATCCAGGGAGATTTAATAAAAACATGACTCAAATTAAGCAGAGTCACATTTCCCAGTAAGACTGGGTGCTGTTCATTAGAGATGCACTGAGACATTGGACACAAATCAGAAATCAATTTTCTAAAGGTTGCTTCTGCTTGATAAATGGCAGCTCAGATGATAAAAAGTCCTCTCTAATGTTTTGATAAATGCATTGGAACTAAGAAAAGAAACGATTAGGAGATATGCTCCGTTCTGAATGGGGATTACCTTGTATTTTTTTTTTCATTTTATTATAATATTGAGAACCACAATGTCTACCAAGTAACCTGCGGCAATTTATCAGTTTTAAAATCTAACGGGGGTGTGGGTAAATATATAAAACCAAGAAAAGACCAAGAAAACCAATAGAAAGCCACATACTGGTATCAGCCTGATTGGTACATCTCTGCTATTTCTTTATATATTTTATCTTTTTTTTGGATGGATGGATGGATGGATGGATGGATGGATGGATGGATGGATGGATGGATGGATG